TCCTTGACTCTTCAACTCCCCTATTGATGTTAATTGTAATTGTCAATGGTTAATTTGGTGTGATGAGTCCTCTCGATATGATTTGAGTTGCCCATGGGTTCCTGTGGGAACACTAAAGGGATACATTTGGGTAATTGTATGAGGAGATGTTATGAGTATGCAATTATGTGAAATTGAAATTGGATTTGAGTAATTGATGGTATAATAGAGTAATATTAGGTTTTAATCTATGTTTTTACTAATTAGATTGTGAGAAAAGAATTTGGATGTGATTTATGTCTGGTTCTACAAATTCTAGTATGAATATACCTTGTTTTATGTGATTTCTCTATGTGTGATTAATGAAATTGATTTTCAATTGTTGGATTAGAAAGTATACATTTGAGGCTACAGTTTAGACTTGAGAATCACATAAAAATGTTAAGGAACGATCAAGTTATGTGAGTTAAAAGATGAACCTCATATTTTGTGTGCAAAATGTAATGGGAAAACATTGTAATACTTTCGAGTAGACTTAAATGACATAATTAGGTTTTTTGATCTTCATGAATGTCGTAGCCTTGGATGTTAGGTTTTAAATTCCATTGAAATCACTTAAAAAGGAGGTATAAAACTCGAGTTATGGTCAAATTAGTGAGTAAAAGTCAGACTATTAGATTTAGGTTGAAATATTGTGGTTTTGTATTTTTTTTTAAAAAATAGTAGATGATGTAATTAGCTCTTGAGGTCAACATAGAAGTTGGAGATACTTGTATTAGATTCATAATAAAATTAAGATCAATTTGATATCATATATAAAGCTCTAGATAAAGTGTTTGGATTACATGATCTCTTAGAAGATTAAGTTGTAGAAATGTAATTTGTAATTGAGAATGATGAATAACTTTACCCTTTAAGTGTTTGATTTTATAAATGTTTTGAGCTACTTATATCAATATTTAGGAAGGATGAATTATGATAGAAAACATTTGTTAATAATTCATGATGTAATTTGATTGTTAATGACTAAGGTGTTTTGATGATAACGATGTCTAAGGACTTAATGTGCGATATTGATAAGGTTGTTAGGCTAATTAAGCTATTGATTTGAATACTTAGTGACTATGGTCAAGGTGTTAGCATATGATTAGACAATCTCACAGTGATTTTGTCTTGAGGTGTATTAAATGATGCTGTGTAATTGTTATGTTTAAACCGCAAACATGTATAATCATTGTACTAATTAATATTGATAATTAGTTGTGGTAGGTGAGTGTTATAGATATAATTGTGAGTTATGTATGAGTTGTAGTGATGTGATTCTTTATGCAATTGACTACTAATATTTAATTGATATATTTGAATTGTTAATTGCTATATTAAGATCACTTAATAGTGAAATGATATGATAAGACATGTCATATGTAAATTAGTGAGATCATATAAGTTGTTATGCATAAAGTCTTTTTGACATGCATCATATGCATAAAAGTGTTTTTAAGGGTATGATATGGAATATATCGTCAGGGAAGGTCCCTCGTTTGGGAGTTAACCTTGGGAATAACTTGGTTTGGAAGTCTCAATCTTGTCCTATGTGCATGGGATGTATATTGTGCGGTTCAACTATCATGACCAGACCTTGGTAGTATATCCTACTAGTGAGAGTGCGTTGAGAGTGTGACCCAGCATGTATTGCTAGCAACAATACATAAATGTGATGTATGATGTTTCTACTAGCACCACATGTAGTGATGGAACCACATGGATCATAGTGGGGGCAAATGCCCCCACTAACATTTTTTATATTTAATTATTATATATATATATATATATATATATATTAAGGTTTAAATATTTTTTTAGTTTCTAAAATTTAGCATAAATTTATTTTTAGTCACTTAAATTTAAAACTGTTATTTTTAGTCTCTATAATTTTTAAAAATCTTGTTTTAATTTCTTAAGTCACCAATAACATATCTGAAAGTGATAGATAGAGATAGCAATGTAATTTCAACTAGATTTAATATGATGTTTTTACTGATATAGATATTAGTAGATAGATTTTAGGCGGTAATATTTAATAGATTCCTTAACAAAATTTGAGTATAAAAACTAAAACAAGATTTTTTTTGAAGTTATAGGGACTAAAAAGACCATTTTTCAATTTGAAGGACTAAAAATAAATTTACCTTAAATTAAAGAGATTAAAAACATATTTAAGCCTATTATAAATTCATAATAATGTACTCACACATTGTCATGTTAAAATCTAAGTGTTCCCACTCTTTTATATATTTTTATTTTGGTAAAAAAGCCAAAGTTAATATAATAATTTTTTAAGGTATTTCTTCATGGTATATATAATACTTTGTCTCATATAATAAGAGCCATGTTTAAAGAAAAAATAAGTTTTAAAATAAGTGTCATGTTAGCCTTACAATATAATATTAATTACTTTTTTTTACATTTATACCCTTCATAATATTTTTTAGAAAGTGAATATTGTATTGCATTGCTCATAGTAAAAAAGATTTATCACAAGGTTTCTTATGCCTAGCCTGTGTAAACCAACCTAGAATGATACTTATTATGAGAAGAAGACAATACTAATTATAATTAAGTCAAGTGTTTGTCACTAGCCACATGCATGATAACATATAGTCTGTATCTATTGCATAATGCATATTAATGTTATGCGATATTTAATTATTACGTCATGAAATGATGAAATGAGTTATTGTTACCAATTTATCTATGTTGTATATATATGTATATGTCCTTGTTTGTGTTTGGCTACCTAACTACACTTTACACTGTGAGTCAGAGTGAAATGTTTCTTACTTCCCTTATTTTGTGTTTGTCTCTATTTATATGTTCTTACATGTGATTTACTTCATGAGATTGAGGATGTTGCCGGTGATGCCTAGTCCTTTAGTTGGATTTATGTTCTAATAGGATGTGACATCAGGGCTTAGTTAGGAATTATCTTCTTTTATCATGTTTTGAGATAATTATTAGTTTTCTTATAATAGATGTCATTTGGATATTAGTTGGTTTTGTTTTATTAAAATGTGATGCTCTCTATGTTGAACATGATAGATTTTTATTATGATAAACTTCTTGATTCATTTTTATTTATTTCAAGTATTATGGTATGTAGGGTAGAGCATGTCATAGCTTGTCAATCCATCGAGCTAAATGGTAGGTCAAGATGTGCTTACTTATTTTTTTTTAAATATATTTTTTGTTTATTTCTTATTTTTATACTAAATTTAATTAAGTTACTTCAAATTTATTTTATGTACAATATGTGATTTATTGTGTAATAAATCTATTGTGCAATAAATCTATTGTGCATTTGATTTATTTTATTATATGTAATTTGAGATTTGTTGTGTAATAAATTTATTACAAGAGCCATGCATACTTTTATAATTAGTTAATTACATATCTATTTTGTTATACAACAAAATTGAGATTTGTTATGCAACAAATCAAATCAAATCAATTGTAGTTTAATTTCTTTTATTATTTAGGTATATTGATTTATGTAAGTCCTTTAGATATTGAGAAGAAAATATGTTAAAAGAGTAACTCAAAGTAAATATACAAACTTTTTTTTTTCTTATATGTTTTTTTTTTCTTTTTTCCCTTTGTTTTGGTTGGCCAATGGGCTAGCCCGCCAATTCATCTTTGGCAGGATGGGCCAAGGTTTGTAGCTCGTTTTCTTTTGGCAGGTCAGCTTGACCTTACTTGTTTTTGGTGGGCCAATGGTGGGTCGGACCACTCATTTTACCATCTTTAAAAAAAGACTCCACTAAAGATGGCTAACCAGATTTCATGATAGAAATGAGTTATTAATAAAGTTAATAACAATCTACACAAATATTATAATCCTAAAAAACAAAGACGCATCATATTTATGAACTTATCTCCTATGAATACTTATTTTAACACATTGTTTTTTTAATTGGTAAAGAAAAAAATATTTAATTTAACCATTTTTAACTAGATTTAATTATTTTACCTTAAAAGAAGCTAGACTTTATTTTTATTTTATCTTTTTAACCGTTTGGTGATTTTGAATTACTCCCTTTATTTATAAATTAAATTTCAATAATTAACTTAAAATTTGTTAAAAAATTTAAAATAATGTTAACCATAATTATACTTTTGGTTCTTTATTTTATTTTTAAAAAAATTTACTTTGATTCTTTATCTTTTAAAATGTTCATTTGTTTTTTTATCTTCTAAATTTATGTTAATTTAGTTATTTTAAATCCTTTTTTGATAAATTAAGGACTTAAAACTTGTCTTATTAGATTCACTTATATCGAATATTGACTCTTGTGAATACAGAAAAAAAAAATATAAATTGGGAGAGGATGTCCACCTACTCGGTATTTGTCAAGCTCCTAAGAAGATTAATCTTTGTATTTGACAAGAGTATACTCCTTGGTAATAATAAAAAAAAAGTTTAAATTGTTGTACACATGTGAAAATAATATTTTTTTTGAAAAAAATCTAATTTCATACTATTCTCTACTTGTTCATAAAATATATTTTTCATACGATTTTTTACTCTATTTATAATTCTTTTGAATTTAATCATCAATTGCATTTCTTAGTTTTCATATGAATAAATTTAATATCACAACTTTCACATCATGAACTAGTCAATAATTGATTCAAAATTTTGTAAAAAAACTAAAAATAATCATTATTTTAAAAAACTAAATTAATCCAAAAAAAAAATTAAGGACCAAAATAAGCATTTATTAAATAAAGAACCGAAATAAATCTTAAAAATTAGATAAATAACTAAAAATATAATTAGTCATAATAATCATAACTTAAATTTATTATTAATTATTATAATGATAAAAAAAATTACTTGTTATAATTTTAAAATATTAATTTATTATAAATTTTAATTATATCATAGTTTATATGCTCTAAAAAAATTTATTTATATCAAATTATTCAGTAAAAAAACAAAGTACGGACGAGAGATGGATATGACAATTGGGATAACGAGTAAGCAAGTTAAAGCAGAAGAGAGGTCGCAACAGAAGGTGAGTGAGAAGAAGAGAGAAGAAGCGCATCGAGAGAAAAAGGAGCATCGTCATGTCCAAAAACAAAGGCAAAAGGAAAGAGAGCGATAGCGAAGGAGAAGACGACGACGTATTCTACTACCGCTATAGCAGCGCCAACCCAACCCAAACCCAAACCCAAACCCAATCACAACACAATAATCCCAACTCCAACACCAAGGGTTCCTCATCCTTAGCACCGTCGAAATCAACGTTGTACGTTTCCAACCTCGACTACTCCCTCACCAACTCCGACCTCCACACGCTCTTCTCCACCTTCGGCCGCATCGCGCGCGTCACCGTCCTCAAGGACCGCCGCACGCGCCTCAGCCGCGGC